GGGGGTCATAGAGGATCACAAGCTAAATATGAGTCAACAGTATAACACTGTTGCAAAAAAAGCAAACATCATTCTGGGATGTATTAGCAGGAGTATTGTAAGCAGGACATGAGAAGTAATTCTTCCGTTCTACTCTGAGCTGATTAGGCCTCAGCTGGAGTATTGTGTCCAGTTCTGGGCACCACATTTCAGGAAAGATGTGGACAAATTTGAGAAAGTCAAGAGAAGAGCAACAAAAATGATTAGAGGTCTAGAAAACATGACCTGTGAGGGAAGATTTAAAAAAGTAGGTTTGTTTAGTCTGGAGAAGAGAAGATTGAGAGGGAATATGATAACAGTTTTCAAGTATATAAAAGGTTGTTACAAGGAGGAGGGAGAAAAATTGTTCTTCTTAACCTCTGAGGATAGGACAAGAAGCAATGGGCTTAGATTGCAGCAAGGGCAGTTTAGGCTGGACATTAAGAAAAACTTCCTAACTGTCAGAGTGGTTAAGCACTGGAATAAATTGCCTAGGGAGGTTGTGGAATCTCCATCACTGAGGATTTTTAAGAGCAGGTTGGACAAATACCTGTCAGGGATGGTCTAGATAATACTTAGTCCTGCCTTGAGTTCAGGGGACTGGACTAGATGACCTCTCGAGGTCCCTTCCAGTTCTATGATTCTATGAAAATGGGCCCAATTGGGCCACAAGAACAACAAGCTGAACCTAGGATCAAAAACACAACAGCCTGGATCCACAAAGGGAGTTAGGCAGTGCAACCCCTTGAAAATTACTGGCTTCCACAAAGTCTGAGTTAGCTGCCTAGGCTTCCTATATAATGAATGGAAAGAGAGAGGGGCACCTGAGAATGCCAGCACACTAAATGGCCCTAAACTAGCCAAGGGGAGACACTGATGGGGGCGGGGGGTGTGCACTAAGTCCCTCCCCTCTCAGGGAGTTTGGTGCCTATCTCTGCTTGTGCTCCACACCCAGAAACCCCACTTCTGGAGTTGGGCAGCTTAGGTGCCTTAGCCACTTCTTGTGAGAATATTTTAGGTCTAACACCATACAAAATAGTAGGGAGTCAAAAGAAAGAGGTAGCATAACCTTTAGCCCACTGGGAGAGTACTCACCTGGGATGTCAGAGATCTTGCTTTAATTTCCCCCTTGGCCTGATAAGGAAAAGGGATATGAACAAGGGCTGTGCAGCTCTCAAGAGCACACCCTAACCACCAGATGATGGGCTATTCTGATGTGGGTGTCTCTTAATCTCTTATTGGAGCCATTCCACATATTTTAAAAAAATTACATATTAATTAAGCCAAAGACAGAGCAAGAATGATTTTATAGCCCAGGGGTTGGGGTATGTACCTGGGCGGTGAGAGAGCCCTTTTCAAATGTCTTCTCCTCAGACACAGGGGAGAATTGAACCTGGGTCTCCCACATCCCAGTTGACTGCTCTACCAATTGGACTAAAGATGATAAGAGAGGCCTTATTCTTTCCCACACCCACACCCATTTTGTGAGGTGTGAAGATGCTTAGTGCACACCTACTGGATCCTGTTCTGTGAGAAAGCTAGGCAGAGGAACACCTATCTTCTCATGGTTTGAGGAGCTCACTGGGGCTTAGGCATGAAATAGGCGTCCAGACACCTGCCTGTGGCAGCAGTGCATATATCCAGAGGCAGAAAGTTGGGCATGTAGGGGACTTTTACAGCAACCATTTAGGCACAGAGTGGGTATATGTGCCTATAGCCTTAGGCAGCAGCTGAGCAGATGTTTTGTGGATTGCAGGGCTCCTAAAGCTGGACTTTGCATGAGTAAGTCCCTTTGTGGCTCTGGCCCAACATCCTTCTTTCAAGAATTTTACCCACTGACCTCATTCTAGTTTTCTCATTCTCTCTTTCTCAGATGCTTTATGGCTCCCTAGCAGCTAAGAATTTCAGACTGAAGATCCTGGAAGTGGCACCATTACCTTCCCAAGCCTGCCTGCCTGCAAAAGTAAGTTTATGCTCTTTATTCTAGTAGAGATAAGGCAGAAGCCCATGTAATGCTAACATCCTGGTTAACTTTTTACCTCCATTCTGTGAGAGGGCAATTCCCAATCAGGACACTTGTTTCTGGTAGCAACTTAGTGCCACTGCTGGCTTATAGAAAATGCTGTAGTAACCTCTGTTTCAGTGACACAATTATATTGCATGTGAAAGTATGTATATAGTGTATGGGAAAATAATAAGCATTCAATGGAAATTGCTGGCCTATACAAGACCTGACGAAACTTAACATAAGAAATTGCTACTCTAAAGTGAGGGTGGACAACCTGAGGCAGATGTTCCAACCAGAACAAGTTCCATGCCCTGAGAGGGTGGCCACCATAGCAACATTTCAGTGACCCACTGCTGTTAGCTGTGATAGCCGAGCCCTTGGTACTGGAGTGGTGTCAGAGTGTAGACACTCATTTCCAAGATGAGGCTTATGGAGGAGGCCTTGAATATAAAAAATAATGGACTGGTGATAGCTTCTCCAAAGACATTATGGGGCCCTGATTGTAATTATAAGGTGGATTCTGACCCACACTTGTTAGTCAAAAAACTAAATTGTGTCATGCTTTCAGGTGTTTAGGGTTAAGGCTCATTGGCAATTAGCCTGTGTTCTGAAAAACATAGGAAACTGGAATCCATGCCTATTGAGATTTGAAAGCTTAAACACCCCTTTTAGACATGCTCTGGAAATGTTTCCTCTCAGTGCAGCCAAATTATCTATCACCAAACCACCGTAAACCTAAGTGAACGGGGATGCTGGCTCCTACAAGAGGCTGTTTTCAAGGACAGGGCTAGCAGAGTGATTCTGAAATAGACACTTAACCCCTGCACTCTCCTCCCCCCGCCCTCCAAAAAAGCAGCTATCTGTGATTCTCTATGAGGATCCTGACCAAGCAAAGAGTTAGCTTGTAATGGCCCTGCACTAGAAAAGGCAATGCTCTGCTCTTACTGGTTCCTGGCTCAAGCAACCAGCCTCCTCCACAGCTCTGCTCCATGAGGCACTTAGGAGCTGAGAAGTGGAACTTCACTCCCTGAGCCATATACGCTCTTTGCCTTTGCTAGCTTCTACAAATATCTTGCTTCCCTTAGTCCCTATTTCGCTCAACTCCCCTTGGCTGCCCTCAAATCCCCTATAGCCCCTACTTCCGCTAAACCCGAGTGGACCACTAGTTCCTCCTAAATCCCTCTATTCTACTGCCAACTTGCTGCCTCGCCTCCCCATCACTGAAATCCCACACTACTTTTCTTCTCAACGTGCCTCACCTCACCCAAGGCCATTGTTACCCTAACCACAGCCTTACCTACTCTCACTATAGTCCTCCTACTACCCACTCTCTTCCCAAGCCCTACTGTTGTCTCCCTTTGGGACTGTGCTCTGTAAGTCTAACCTTAGCTATTTCATTCATCTCCATAGTTGTATGGGGAGTATTTTTCAAAAGCACTCAGTCTGGGCCTAACTGTGCTGCCACACTGCAGTCAATAATAAAATTCTCATTAACTTCAAGTTAAGCCAATGCTGAGTGTATTTTAATATTCCACCACTTCTCTTTTCTGGTTTTTCAGTGGCGTGTTGAATGTTCTGCTTGGTTTGGAATTACAGGTAGCCATAGTAATTGCTATTTTAAAAAGGCTTTTTGAGGGGAACAATACCAGACTCTTGCATGAAACAACCATTCCATTACATGGTAGTGTTTTTGGGGTGCATGCCCAACTCTCAGTAACTTTGTACTTATCTGAAGTTAACATTAGGTCCTGAAAATATGTTGGGGTGTGTGTGTGTATGTGTATATGTGTGTATGTGTATACACACACACCTCCTCCCCCCCCCCCCCCCACACACACATGCACAAACCCATGAAAGAAACAACATTCCCAGGGAAGGGGGAATAAAAGACTTAAGAGTAGTTAGAGAACCTGAAAGTCAGAAACTACCAAATGAGATCACTGAGATTCCTGAGGCTAATGTGATCTTGGGGAAAGGTTTAACAACCAATAGATTTTTCTTTTCTTATGCAGGTATGCCTCAGGGATATTGCCAATGGGGTACTTAGAAACACAACTATTGCTTCATGAAATGGAAACTTACCAGATCCCTTCATGACTCTGTTGATCTGGAGTGTGTATGTTTTCATCCATTAAGCCATCACAAGCCTCAGACAGACTCCACCAATTCCCCAAACATTATTTTTTTCTTATTTCATTGATTCTAAGGCCACAAGGGACCCCTGTGATCATCTAACCTGAGCTCCTGTATAACACAGGGCATAGAACTTCCCCAAGATAATTCCTAGACAGAGCTTTTAGAAAAAACATCCAATCTGGATTTAAAAATTGTCAGTGATAAACAATCCAGCACAACACTTGGTAAATTGTTCCAATATTTAATTACTGTCACTGTTAAAAATGTATGCCTTATTTCCAGTCTGAACTTGTCTAGCTTCAACTTCCGGTCATTGGATAGTGTTAAACCTTTTTCTGATAGATTGAAGAGCCCATTATTAAATATTTGTTCCGACTAGGTACTTACAGACTGTAATCAAATCATCCCTTAACCTTCTTTTTGTTAAACTAAATAGATAGCACTCTTTGAATCTATCACTATAAGGCGTGATTTCTATTCCTTTAATCTTTGGCTCTTCTCTGAACCTTCTCCAATTTTTAAACATCCTTCTTGAATTTTGAGGGCCAAAACTGGACACAGTATTCCACCTGCAGTCATACCAGTGCCAAGTACAGAGGTAAAATAACCTCTCTGTTCCTGCCAAGAAGCACATTAGCCTTTCTGGCCAAGGCATCACACTGGGAGTTCGTGTTCAGCTGATTATGTATCATGACCCCCCAAATTTTTTTCAGTCACTGCTTCCCAATTTAAAAGTAAACCTCTCTTTATGACGACTAAGTGAACCTGGAGACAGCTGTGAAAATTTTTTAGATGAATTCTAGGATAAATCTAAAGACTGAATACATTTGTGGATGGAAAGTTGAAGGGACAGATAGGAAAATACACAAGTCAGTGTCTCTCCCAGGGAGTGTGGGATGCACAAGAGATTCTAGGGATGTGTTAAAAAGAATTTACATTTTAAATCCACTGAGATAATGTGATGTAAACAGTCAGCTGCACAATGGAATATCTTGCAATTAAACTACACAGCAAAAGATGGTTGATGGCATCAGAATAATTTAATGTACATTAAAATATAATGTATCAATAAATGTTTGTTCTCACTTATAACACATGCACCTATAGATATCACAATATAGAGTATAGTAAATAAATACCTACATGTATAGGTGTATAATGTTTTGTAACATATTGTGTGAAATTAATAAAGTTTTAGCAATAGGAAATCTCAGTATAAATTCTGACTGGGAAATGGGAGAGTGCTGTTCATTTCTGTGTAAATTATGGGGTGTGTGGATTAGTACTATAAGATATAGTGCTTTTCTGTGTGGACATATATAAAACCTAGTCCAAATTCTCGGGGGAGACAAATTTTCCTATAATTAAAACAGTGAATTGTAGCATTTCCTGGGATAATTATAGGTAAAAGCAAGTACTTGAGATTAACCTAATCTGCCACAGGATGTCACACCAATGTACATGAATACACCTGAAAGAACATTTATCTGGCAGCTCAAGATTTGATTTCTGAAGGCACTTTTGAATGCAAAGTTCAGGTAGTTTAGTGCACTGCATTTTTATTTCTATAAGACCTGAGCTGAAATATATCTTCAGTGTTTTGTACAATTGGCTATCCACTGTCATTTACATTTACAAACTGTGTCTTGTGTGTTCTCATATACGGCAGTACTTGGAGGTTTGTATAAAGAGTTTTGTTGATGCTCAAGAAGAAAGGAATTCCAACTCACTCGTAGTTGTGATTGCTCTGCAGGACTAACAGGAGTAGAAAGCAGTAAAAACATATACCTTTTTTAAAAGAAGATCTGATTTTAATACACACTGGGTGGTGATCTGTTATTTAAAGATAGCATCTTCTTACAGTGTCACTTCAAGAGTAAAAAGCAACAGAGGGTCCTGTGGCACGTTTAAGACTAACAGAAGTATTGGGAGCATAAGCTTTTGTGGGTAAGAACCTCACTTCTTCAGATGCAAGTGATACTTCAAGAGTAGCATTTTATTTATGCTTTTCTTTATTTTTGTGCTTAAATTCTCACTCTTAATTATTAACAAAAGGGATTTTTTGGCATTTATTATGAATAATACTGACAAGCAATCTATCACTTTAATATCTTTTCATTAGAACTCAGGAAAATCAGATGCAAGAAATTGTAGCAGCTCTCCATCTGTAGAGGGGAAAGTTTGACTTGTCTCTAGTGCTGGGCATATAATGGAAAATATTTATTAAATACTTTATTTGGAATATTTTACTAAATTTATCAATTATAATCTTTATTCAAGTAAGATTATTCAATGTTCTACTGAATATTATTTGAATAGTTCTGTCACCTTACAGCATTAGTGTACTACAAATCCACCACTTAGTTTTGTCTTGACTGGTAGGTTCCCTCATTTAAGTACATAAAAGGACATATATGGGACCCTTAACTGCAGCAGCTTGGTGAGGCAGGGAGTGGGGGAATACAAAGGTAACCTTGTCACCTTTATGCTTCCCTTATCCTGGTCCAGCTGTGAGTCAGGCCAGTCCAAAGATGCTCTAATTCACACCACTGCCAGTGGCCTCGGAGGGCCTTTACAGCAGCCAGAGAAGCTCTGGCTATGCCCTGTTTCCTCCAGCCATGCCTCCTATGCCACATACCCAGAACGTTATACACAAGCTCTACACCACCAGAGACTCCTTCTGCAGTGGAGTGATGTCTGGCTACGCTTACTATGAGGCAGTTTTGCATTAGCAGAGCAGCAAAAATTGGCCCTAACACAACAGAGACTCTGGGCCCTGAAGTCCAATTTTCCACTTCAAATGCTTGCATAACTCCCAT